CCATGTTAATGAAGTTTTGCTCAAAAAACACTACATTTTGGTTATATGAGAAGTTTGGGGTAGGCGAGCCGTCGTATGCGACTGCTGGCCGTCGTATATGACGGGTAGCTGCTTGTGGGACAGTCGACCATATACGTTTGTCGTCGATTTCGACATTTTCCAGTGCTTGTTCTCTCCATTTAGGAGAGTTTTCCAAAATTTCTCTGACCACGAATTGAATCGGGTCGGATCTTATTAGTACCTCAAACTTGGGTTAAGGTGAGCCGCCGTATACGACGGCTGGCCGTCGCTTGCGCCGGCAGGCCGTCGGCGGGCGGCGGACGCAGAGAAATTCTGTTGTGATCGCCTCGGAATTGCCGAAATCGGCTGGCTCGAGAGCATTTAGGCTGCCACCGTCGTTCAATCAATCCCGGTCACCCCGTCAGCCACCTCCGAGAAGAGATCCAAGACATCAAAGATCAGGATGCACGATGACGCATGAGGAAACCATGCAGATCTCGTTACTGAGGATATATTCGTTAGTTACCTTTTAATGTCAACAATCCTTCCGTAAATTTCAGGATCAAACCTGCATTCAAACGCTCTTATGGTTTCCACATGCGTCGGATCAAATTAATGTATTCACGTTATTGGTTTGAATTTTTTTACCGTTTCGAAGGTATTGGAATGTTTTTGACAGATCGCGATAAATGGCTGGCTTTTTTTTAGAATATCGCTTTTGACCCAGTGAAATTCCATCAGCGATGGTGTCCGGCTATTGGATGTGAATGAAGACGACGGTGTCCCCATGTGGAAGCTGAACTATTCACGAATAGCGCCGTTGAGGCAACAGGTGTGTTCCATATTGCAACTGAGCGTGTCTTTTTGCTTCTTTGTATGGGCTAATTTATCTTCAGAGAGCATCGTCGGCGGCTATCCTCAAAGAAGTCGAATCGGCTAAGCGTGTACTTGAAAGATCGCTGTCTGTTATTTCGAGAGAAACTCCCGCTGATTTGTAGCAAAACACGTTTAGTATTTGATTTGTTCGTGTTTGGGTACCTGTTTTGAATCATTATGCAATAAAATTGTAATGTCCCGGAATAATGGCTACCTTAAGTGGAACGGTAGCACATATGAGGAAGGAATCACTCTGAATGCAGGCAACACATGGCGTCTCTCACTGACTGGGTATACAGCCATACTTTTGTATTCTTATCCCATTCGAAATATGTATTTCAACCAGGAGAGGCACGGACTCGAAATAGGTTGTCGGCCAAAGGCAGTTGCGTGATGTTACCACATGCCTATTCAAATGTTCCTAAAACTTAGCAGATGGAAAAGCATTCCCAGGCGTTAACGCAACATACAGTGGCAATATGATGGCAGCACAGTCAAAACAATGTGAAATATCTCCTTTCCGTTAAAACCGATACTAACCATAAACCAAGGTGGGGAGTAGAAGCTCCAGCGCATGAGCACTTTTCGCTGCCTCCGAAATCCTGCTCCCGACTGGGCCAAGTCCCAGAAGATGCCTCCATATCTTGCGATAGCGCCGCAATTCCATTTAGGATACCCATCTACGATTCGAAACTATGGAATGGTTGTTACATTTTTATGCCATTATTCAGCTGTTGCTGGCATCGGAACGCGGTTCATGTCAAGACAATGGTTGTAAAATTGCTCTTTAAATAGAGCAAATGGGTGTGCTTATGAGCGCAGACTGATTAATGAGGTCTTAATAAAACAGCGTGAAAAGAGAAATCAGTCATGTAACTACTGTTTCGGGGTTATGTCATAGAAAGGATATGCGCCATGGTTGAAGTGATGTGAAGTTCACGTTGATCAGTTCACTAGTGAAACGCGCCATGCGCTTGTCGTCCATCCAGTGCCTGCTGCATTTGCATAGGTGTCGAGGTTATCAATAGAAGCTAAGGGCCAGTTGATACTCACGTCTCTATTCTTTTAGTTTTAAACACCACTGTTCATATCACATGTATGCCACAACCGTTCCTTCAATGGGAAGTAATATTCGAATAGGAAAGGCGTTGGTACCCGTCATGGACCACCCACAGGAACACGTGGTGATGTTCCCTTCGATCGTGCCACCTCGGTAGTCCACACCAACAGAGCTGGATTTTCTGGTTGAGAAGCCTTAGTTTTATCGATTCTAATGAAAACCGTTTCTATTGGGTACCAATGCAGAGATGTACGTCCCACTACAGGGTGAAGCAAAATTACTGGTGCCCCAATATTTTATCGGCATACGCATGGCATGTGGCATGCAGGTATTTCTCTTAAATTTGTCCCAGGATTCCAAAAGTGCCGATATGAGAGGGTCCAAATCTCGGTGAACGATGGAGCAGACTTTCCCTTCTAGGTTAGCCCATATTTAAAGATATGTCGGTCTTCCAGAGAATTGGAGAGGTATTCATCATAGTGTTGAGTTAGGGGTTTGCGTTGCACTGTTCTTGGACCATTCCGGTCAGTGTCCTGAAGCAAACCCTTTGGTGAATCACCCGTAATCCTCTCCAAAGTAAAGACACGCCCATGGTTTTGAACAAATACCGAGTTTGAACGCTGTTTGAACAAAATTTGAGATTTGAAAAATCGTCGAGAACGGTTTCGCATAGCGCTCTGTTGGAGGTTGATTGGTGCACTTCGCAAAGTGGAAGGCCTAACCACTTTGTGATCAGGGCGTATTAGTAGCAGCGTGTTCAAGCTACATATCATGAAAGAATCAGGTGAGAAAATCTACAAAAGATTTTGGAAAATCCGTTAGATGTAGATGCACCAGCAATTTTGCCCTGCCCTGTCGAAAGGTAATTTTTGAGTCGAAGAGTCATGTACAAATCTCTAAAAGCACCATCAATACGGTACCACATCTGCGCAAAGGCGGCTTTTTCGTTTGAGAATATCACATACATACTACTTGGCTTCCAAGACCAGAACAGTCCAGGTCTGCTGGCCTTCCACTCCACGAAGACCAACATTAGAAGAGGGTTAACATAGAACTTGGCCACCGACAACCTCCATTTCCTTCAGAACATAAAACGGGTTCTATTGTACCAATCAACGCAGAGAACATGCCATTCCGGAAAGCGCTCCATGTTCTGAAAAACCTCCCTTGTTAGACCACAGCTTTCAAAGCAGAGCTTCACACACTCTACTCAGCAATGCGAGACATGCCGTAGTTACAAGTTGAAAGACGTCTCATCAGACAGCATCAAGTGCATCAAAAAGCGCGCTTGACATCGATCTTTTCGAAGCTGCTGATTCGCCCAGTCTCTCCATTTTCCCGTGGATTTACTCAACGAGATTAATGAATGATGAATGCTACTGAAGCAGCAAGGGGTGGTTGATTTTGACCGAAAGAAACGAAACTCTTCTTGGAAAATCGGTATCAGGCAGTCTATGGGGTGGTCCCACCGAGTGCGCTCTCAGCAAAATGCTCTCGGCAGGGTTCCTATCGTGAAATTTCTGAGCCAAGCGTGGGGAGCCAACTGGTGGCGGGGGCCCAGCGTGGGAACCTGACCGCCGGCGGGGGCCCAGCGTGGGAACCTGGCTTCCGGCGGAGTCCCAGCGTGGAAGCCGCCGGCTGTCAGCTCCATAAACTAGCGGACGTTGTTCAAGAAAAACGATCGAGACGAACTTCTGTCCACCTACTCCACGATGACGCCAGGCCCCACATAGCTAAAGAGACCCGTGCAAAATTGGAAGAGCTGATCTGGGACGCGATTGCCCACCCACCCTATTCCCCTGACATATCGCCTCAAGTTGAAAATTCCTTCATGTCATTTGAACAGCCTTTTTTTGAAACCCTTTCATGTCCTTGGTGTCTAAACTGCAGAAAACGGTAAACGGAGCGCACAAATTAGTCGAATTCTTTCACGACGAGCCGCGCACTGCACATTCTCGAGAGCCGGTCCCCATCCACTTCGACCAGGTTACCACTGCTGTGGCTATTACATTCGGCTCTTACAACTAGTATCCTCCGACTAGTAACACTGATTCACTGCCGTTTTAGAGATGAACGTCGAAAGCTTCACATTCAACAACAACTACAATAAAATAGGACCAGTAAGCAATGAGTTAAAAACCGTATAACAATATCCAGTTAATGTTGTTCAAGAAAAACTGCTTCTCAGAAACAATATTATACAAGAATATGCACAGTATTATCAACAGCGCGCGACAGTGAATTGTTCGGAAAAAATATCGAAAGCTTCTACGCATTGTAGCGGAGCTCCTCAAGCTCTCCATGGCTGACCAAATTCTCGTTCGCTTCCTCAATGCTGTTCATTGCAGCGCTGCCCTGGTTCCTGCAAAAGTACTCGTAAATTGCTTAAATCAACCGGCACAAATAAATAGAGGAAACGTACGAATTCGCAATGAAGATGTTGTGACCACGTTTGGCTTAGCGATCGGCTACAATAAGCGGCACAGGAACAGAAACCGTTGATGTAACGATTTCGTGCAGGTAGCAAAGACTATGGGCGGTATTCAATCCTTCCCCAGGGGGATATATCCCCCTACTCTGATTCAATCCTCTGGGGGGACAAAAAAGGGTTGCGTCATAGGACCTAGCATACCTCTGTGTTTCTACCTGCCAGACAGTTAGAGCAGCGCGACTACCCTCCACTGATGAAGCACTCTTTCCCTGAGGGGTCGCGCTGCTCTAACTGTCTGGCAGGTAGAAACACAGAGGTATGCGAGGTCCTATGACGCAACCCTTTTTTGTCCCCCCAGAGGATGAATCATCCCCCCAGAGGATTAGAATCAGAGTAGGGGGATATATCCCCTGGGGGAAGGATTGAATACCGCCTCATGAGTCATACCCATATGCATGTTTCAACCACCCTCCCACCACCCCCCCCCCCCACCATCCAAAAAGAAAACAGAGCGACACCAGATTCTTGAACTTTTGCCCCTTCAAACTCTAAGCATCAGCCAGGTGTGGTATACGGGGTCTGATTCATAAGATCAGAAAACGAGCTTTTTCGCGTTTCGCAGCGCGAAACATTTTTCGCTGCGGGAACCTCAGGTCCACCGCTGATCGTGAGCGGACCTGGGGTTTCTGCAGTGAAAAGCAATTCGCGCTGCGTAACGCGAAAAAGACACTTTATCTACTACCTTTGAAACTAAGAAATGGATATGCTTTACGCTTTAATAAAGTCACGGAAACATGCCTACTACACGAATGGCCACCGTGTCCATCAAGAACTCCAAAAAGAAATGCATTAGATGAAAGGCCTGAATAGAAGATGATACAGTCGATACTAATTGCACTGAAAACTTGCAAATTTTCGTATGGCTTTTTTTTATCAAGAAAACGTAAGTTAAGTCTGTGTAGATGAAACTCACATTTAGCAGCCGAGTAGAAATCTTCTATTGGACTATTAGCAGCAAGTTGACAGGCAAGTTGACTATTAGCAGCCTCTTGATCAACAGTGAAAGAACGTTCATGTGCCCTGGAAAGTGCATTGCAAAAGTGTAGTTCAATGGAAAATGTTTGATGAGTAGTGAGAAGACCATAGAAACGTGAAACAATCAAATGCGTAATCAGGGGGGGGGAGCAGATGCCACAGCACGAACGGCGATGCACCGAAGCTTCCGCAAAAGTTTTAAAACTTCTCAATATACATTAGAATTTTTGCAACTCTTAAGAAGCCTCCAAAAACTGAATTCAAACGAATCCAATTATTCTCCTAGGAATGCTCAAAAACGTCAATTGGAAAATCTCCAAGAAATCTCGATTTTAGCCTACCCTACTCGCGGCCCTTCTTTTGACAATGAAAACGATAAAGCTATGTGGAAAAGTTACCTTCTACAAGTTTTTATTGTTCTGCTGAACTGGTAAATAAGTCAAAGATATTGAGAAGGGGATCGTACTAGAAGGACAATCATATCAGAAGCATGCGTCAACCATAATTTCTTTCTCACATTTCTTACGACACGAAAAAGGGGCCTCCTAGTCCTATAGAGCTTGTTGCGAACCTCCTACACGTGCAATGTGATAAGGGACATAATTTTGAAAAAAAACAACCAAAGAGGTGGTCAAGAAACGGTTTCATCACAGCAAGTTCAGATCGTTACTATTGCATTGATAATCTCCACTCTTAAAAGAGCAAAAAGGAACTGAGAAAAAGTATGTTTGTTCCAGTGAGACTACGCTAGTCTCAGAGAAATATAATAAGATATAAGATCTCAGAGAAATATAATAAAGTATAAGATAGAGTAATTAAAGTCATACCTTAAATGAGCGTCTGCATTCCATCGTGAATTTCGCAAAGCACGACGCCATTCAATTAACAAACGACGATTAAGCATCACATCCGTACAGTTCTTGAGTAGATAAGTAAGAGAAAGAATATACTTCTAAGTAGAAAATCTGCAATTGAATGAAAACGATGTTCCTTCAGAAAATTCATTACAATCATGCGTCTGTTCACGTACTGGAAGAAGGTGCCGCTGTTGGGAACATGTTGGTCCTTAATATGAAGATTGAAAGCCTTGCATGTTCTGCACAACAATGCCCCTTACTACTTCTGGGCCGTTTGAATGCTTCGAAACGGGCATTACATTCTCAAGGCGTTACACTATCGTTGAACTCGAGTACGTCAGATACACGCCTTACGACCAGTAAAACTATGGACTGCGTTCGCAGCTTGTGCCCAGACGGCTATTTGAAAATCTGGAGAATCGAGTAAGGGGCATCGTTTGGCTCATGCGTAGTAGATAAGTGCGCAGCGCATTTGCACCTCCAATCTAGAGAAAACAGAATTGCCCACAAATTAAGCAAGATTTCCAACTACACATTGTTCTAACATACAGACCTTGAAAATCCCAGCTCAAAATTGTGACACAGAACGAATGAAACTTAGCCATCTACTTGCCTTTGATGATCTGTAGAATGCTTTTCATGTTATGCGGCTGCATAACTGCCTTAACACTGAAGGTAGATTGACCAGTACGTGGATCAAAGAATATGGACATTCGCGAAATCTTCTCCAGTAAATTCTGCTCGTCAATATGGGATGCGCCCTTTGTCACCTAAAAGAACAGTTTTGAAGTTTCACTTAACTTAAGACAGTTTCACTTAAAAGAAGAGTTTAAAAGAACAGTCATTGTCCCTAGAGATCAAAATATTGAAAATTAAACTAAAGCACAATGATAATCCAAATGAATTCGGTTTAAAACCGTGTCACTGTTATTCCCTCACCAGTTTTCGGTGTTACAAGGAGATCCAGCGCTAATCAACAGGATTTGTAGGGAAGGACACTCACTTAACCATTTGACTACTGCTGGTAGACAACAGTTGTCAAACGGTGCTACCACAATTCAAAAAAATCCATTTCCACACTATGAGTGTTTCGCAACAGCACAGGTGTGCCACCTCGGGACAGTCGCATGCAACAGCAAATGACACCTGGGGAGACTCATGTGCGACGATTAGGAGGCGCTTGTTTATAAGGTCAACTTCTCTTCATTACCTCACTAGCACTTACTCATTCACACCACTGTTCTGTTAAGGTCCTTATACTACTTTTGTAATCTATATTCTGAGCTTTATACATTTCATCTCCTCTACAAATAACTGTCTGCTGCTATTGACATCGCTTCAATTGCAACTTACATATTTCAATCGCTGTTTTTACATATTCATTGGATTTAGTGTTTAGATTCGATAATGCTCGAGGTTTTGTTCGCAAGTGAGGTTGATGAGGCGGAGGTCCGCCGCGACTTCCAGCTCAAGGAGCTCGTGCTGTTTGCACAAACAGCGGCAGGACTCTTCATATTGGCCTTCAGTATATGGTCTATTGTAAGTTCCATACAATCACATTCAAAATTTGGTATGTTTGTAATTGCTTTATGTTTAGATGAAATGCTGGGCGCTGTTCACGAAGGCTCGGCGATCAACGCGCCACTACGACGAGCTCTACCCCGAACTCTGAATCGAGCCCTAGCATTTCTCTATATTGTTATTGTTTTTAATAAAGATAAAATAAAAGCCTAATAAAAGCAGACACTTGAAAAGTATTGTAGATACGAAAACCGTGCAGGAAACCGTGAATGAACGAGACCTCTTAAATAGTGGATATCTAATATGGCTGAATAAAAAAACGGAGCCTCATAAAAGCTACTACAATGGCAGAATAAATACCAGTATCGAGTAGACAACGTATAACTCGCAGATCATTCTTCAATTTTTGGTAAATGCGAGTGAGGAGGCAAGTGAGCATTAACAGCAGGGTGTTTTGGAGGAGGCATATGGGAACCAAGATCGTGCTGTGCAGGGGGAACCATGTGAGTCTCCGCCTCAGGCTTCGCAGAAGCTGCTTCTGCTGTTGTTTCAGAAGGTGGAAGGCCCGCATTCGGACGTTCCTCAAATGAAAAGAGCGAACCGAATCGAAAATGCTGTACAACTGGGAATTTCTTCAACACCTAAAATGAGATTTTATTTCGTTGCCTCTTCATGCCACAAAATCCAGCTGGACAATAGACAAGGAAGTTTGGTATATAATGAGGGATCTATCGTCTATCTGATGTGTTGTTTGGACCTCAATAGACTACCTGTTTTTTTTTGCCAGATTGAAGAGGCAACTGTCTGTCTGATAAATAATCTATAATATCAAGGACTGTTTTGAAAAATGTGACATTCTGCTACGTTGCTGCAGGGGTGCCGACCCTGCCGTTGAACTTCAAAACTAGGGTGTGAACCACGGCGACGTTGCCTGGGCTGCAGGTTGGCATGAGTCCACATAATTCGAGCCACGGACCTTTGGAAGCTGTCCATTTATGATTGGACGGATGGATGGAGAAAACGCTGCTCTGAATCGAGACAGTTACCATAGGCCTACTTGAGCATAATGGCGGGGGAGATGGCGAGGATTACTGGTGTGATCAAGAACTTGTTGAAGCAGGAAAATAACGTTTGGCGTGAAATCCGAGCTGGGTGTGGGGATTCAATCCCCATGACAATATTTCCAGTCAAGCTGTCAGTCGTAACGTTGTGGCAGTCTCGGTTAGTGCTAAAGGGCGCATAGCCATAGCAGTCGAAAAGGGCTCATACATTTTGAATAGCAGAGTGTAAAACAGCCAAAAAAGGAGTACCGTATGCGTATAGAGAAAGGTACAGGAACAAAGTTTTGTCAACCTAAAACGTCGCTTCTTGTTAGCGTTGCAAACTGATGTGTACTTGCTTGTATGAAAGGCTACTAACAGTAAACAAGTTCTTGATTGTTCGTAGTGTGTCGTTGAATAAGTTTCAGGGGAGGTAGGCTCAAAAATAAGCGAAGTGTGATTAACTCAGCGTGAAAAACGAATGAAAAACGACTTTTTGACCCCTTGCCCTCATCTGATTTGAAGAGTATACATAAAATTGGTAACAGACCTCTCCTTCATACATTTGAGGACCATTGTCAGAGGACCATTGTCAACCGTCACGTTGGACAAATTTCAAAAATTTTACGACCCCCCCCCTTCTGCCTCAATCTGCCCCCTCCAAGGACGGTGGAACGACAATTTTTTTTCTTTTCTCAGCACGCACAAAGCGTAAAGCGTCACACTACGACCCCCCCCATGGTGTAGGATTGACGCTGCCTCCGACCTTGCGAATACGACCCCCCCTTTTCGTCGGCCGAATACGACCTCCCTCGTTGGACTTTGTCCAACGGACGGTTGACCCTGTAGAGGACTCCTCATGCGAAATTGTGATCTCCCTACACACAAAAAATGCACCAAAGTTTACCCCATTTTACTGGAAAAGCGCCCAAAATTAGGTAGAAGCATCAGCCTGGGGAGTCTCACGTAAAACTAGTATTACGGGCGCGTGCGGCAGCTATGCGGCTAAGTTTTTCATGCCACGCTTCAGGTCAAAGCAGAAAGGTCAAACAGTTTCAAGAATCCAATATGTAACAAATGTAGATTAGGGCCTTTCCAGTAAACAGGGGCACTTTGGTGCAGTACGTACGATTCCAGCGATCCCAACTCTGCACAAGGAAATCTTTAAGATTGCGAATACAAGCTACGTTACTTCGACATTACTTCGAATTTTGAATGATGAGCAGCATCTGGGGTTGGACGTTTGAAGAAAAAAAAACTATTGTAGACATGAGCCTAAAAGAGCTCCAGGGTGAATGAACCAAAAATCT